GCACTTTAAAATAGACAAGGTTCGGCTGGGTGTGGTGGATCACACCTGTAATCCCAACACTTTGTCAGGCTGAGGCGGATGGATCACCTGAGGTCAGGAGTTCAAGACCAGCATGGCCAACATGGTGAAACCCCATCTCAACTAAAAATATAAGAATTAGCTGGGTGTGGTGGCAAGTGCCTTTAGTCCCAGTTACCTGGGAGGCTGAGGCAAGAGAATGAATGGCTTGAACCTGGCAGGTGGAAGTTGTACTGAGTTGAGATCATGCCACTACACTTCAGCCTGGGCTACAGAGCAAGACCCCATCTCAAAAATAAATAAATAAATAATAAAATAAAACAAAACAGGTAAGACTCAAACAATAATTTGGATTTCAGACTTTTCTTGAATATTCAGAAGATCTGGTACCTGGCCCTGTGTTTTGAATTGGCTGCAGGTTATGGTGGCCATCCTGTTTGGAAGGGGCTTCTTTCTCTACTTTGCCACAGGCCCTGCCAGTCAAGTACACTTGATCCAGTCTCCGTATCGACATTGTCTACCTGACCGCTGCTGGCATTTGTATTTATAATTCATGCTACGTTGTGTCTCTGGGCTCTGTCCTCTCTTCCATTCTTCTACAGTCCAAGTGATTCCTGAGTTGACAATTTTACTTCTAAAATCATGCTCTAATATATTTCACATTCTTTATCTTTATGGCTACAAATTGGCCCTCACAAGCTCAATTACTTGAGTAAACACCTGGTTTCATGCTTCCGGTCTCAACCTCCCTCTGATTGACTCTCCACATTGCCTATAATTAGTGATATAAATAATGAAAATAGATGATATCCAGTGGCCTCAGAATGAAATGTAAACTCCCAAATGTAACACATAAGACCAGTCGTGACCTGGCCTGACCAGTGCTCTCATTACTGTTCATTTTCCACACTTCTCTTGGCCTTATTGAAATATTGACTCTCTCCAAAGTCATGACCCTTTATGTGTCCTTGTTACCCATTTTTCTTTCTACTTGGACTATTGCATGTGGCTTATGTTGCTATTTATAACCGAGTATACTGACATAAAGCTAGAGTGATGCCCTTTCTAAAATTCACTTTTTCCTTTATGTTGACTTAATCAGTAAGTCTTTCTGTCTTTCACAAAGACACAAACAGGATAGAAACGTAAGTCCTGGTTTTGCTTACATATCATAACATCTTAATTGGTTTGTCATTCACTTCTCTTCTGTGCAGTGTAGGAGACTTGTAAGCATTTGGCCTTGGTGTCCTAGGTCTGCCATCTGCTAGCTATTCAGACGTGAAAAGGCTACTTCACATTCTCATGTCACTGTTTTCACATTTGTAAGATAGGGCTACTGTGGTTCTCACATCTTACCATAATAGTAGAGTTGAATGAGATAACTCACATAAAGGCTTAGAACCAAGTGATGCAAATCAGCCTCCGGTGGATGTTAGCTGTTGCTGATATTTTTTTATTTTTTAATTTTTTTGAGACAGAGTCTTGCTCTGTCACCCAGACTGGAGTGCAGTGGCATGATCTTGGCTCACTGCAACCTCCGCCTCCTGGTCAAGCAATTCTCCTGCCTCAGCCTCCTCAGTAGCTGGGATTTCAGATGTGTGCCACCATGCTGGCTAATTTTTGTATTTTTAGTAGAGATGGGGTTTCACCATGTTGGCTAGGCTGGTCTTGAACCCCTGACCTCATGATCCACCTGTATGGGCCTCCCAAAGTGCTGGGATTACAGGTGTGAGCCACTGCGCCCAGCCTGTTGCTGTTATTAACATTTCTATTTCATTCATTTATTCATCCATTTATTGAGCCTTGGACTGGGAACTGTTCTAGGAAATTTGATATATATATATATATATATTTTCAGAACCCACAATAACTTTGGAAAGAAAAGAGTTTCAGCCCTGTTTTCCAGGTAGAGGCCATGAATGATGGGAGAGAGAGGGCCTTGTGATGGTCACTCAGATTGCTGGGGTGGTGAACACAGAATCAAACACAAGATCCTAATCATTGCTTCCCTGTCTTCTTATGCTTCCTGTTTGTATGAGTCTTCTCAGGCTGCTGTGACAAAGGACTACAGGCTTAAACAACAGACATTCTAGTTCTGGAGGCTGGAAGTTCAGGATCAAGGTGCTGGCAGGGTTGATTTTTTTCTGAGGCCTCTCTCCTTGGCCTGCCGAGTCTTGCTTCCTACCCGCGTGGTCTTTCCCTTTGTGCACAGGCGTCCCTGGTGTCTTTTTCTGTGTCCTGATCTCTGCTTATAAAGACAATGGTCAGATTGCATTAGAGCCCATCCTAACAACCTCAATTTAACTGAGTCATCTCTTTAAAGGCGATATTTCTAAAGAACAATATTCTGAGGTATTGAGAATTAGGGCTTCCAAATATGAATTTTACTCGACCTGAGAAAGCTGATTAAAACAATATATGAATTTTAGAGGGATGCAATTTAACCCATGACATTGCTAATCCAGTGCTTAAATGTCAACCTCCACTGAGAACTATATTTAATATTAACTCTTCTCCTGGGATCTAGTAGTTCTAAGTAATTTTCCTTTTTATGCTCTTAACTTAGGTATGAGCTTCTTGTTTCTCATTTTCCTCATCTTTGACCCTTCCTAGATGTTCTTTCTATCAAGTTCTCGCCCACCTAATCTCACAGGGTTTTCAGGGTCACAGTTCCCGTGACCATTCCTCTTCTCTGTGTTCTCAGCTGAAAGAGTCGACAGAGTTCTCCAGCATCACCTCCTGTGTCATTAGTTCAGTTCTGCTGGAGGAACAAAAAGAACCCAAATGTCCTCTTAAATTGGATTTCTGTTTTTGAGCATTAACATTTAGAATTTTCTGATTGACCCTGAGCTGCTGTTTCAGGTAAACTGGTGTCCAGCCTTGGGTATGGAATTTCTCATGAGCCTGAATTTCTTGTAAAGAAATCAGTGTATCCACAAGGTTAACCTAGAATCCAGACCGCTCCCCACCAGCCACCGCCCATCCCTGCCACTTTTTTTTTTTCCCTCAAGTTATAAGATGCAATCTTGGGCCACTGTCTAACTAAATGCAAGCTGTGGGTTGGCTTGGTGAATTCATTGCTCAAAATTCTTCCTTCACATTAAGAAAAAATATTGAATGACTTTTAGTGTCACACTCGAGCAAATCAAATGGGCCTTTAAATGGTTTGAGCAGCTATGCTGCATTTTCTAGACAGATAAAAATGATTGTATTTTCTAAAATTAGAAGATTTGAGATATGAAATCCTATTTTTGAAAACATGTTAAATAGTGATTGTAACATATAGTGCTGTCATATGTTGAAAAGTGTTTAAGCATCTTATTTTCAATCAAAGTAAAATGGAACATATCTCATGATGGATATAATTATATTCCACTTCAGGCTGCCAAGAAACTTTTTGGAGAACTCAAGTGTTATTAAAACTGACTGTATGGTCCATTTTTAGTATGATTTCTAAGATTTAAAAGCTACCAGGAATTTTATAAAATATTGAATAGCATTGGATTTTTTTGGAGGATAATTTCATATTTCTATACTGCACAGGGTAATACCAAATTGATTATGCCAACTTATGAGTGGTGCTTCACATAATTAAATCTGGGAGTTATTTTTGTTTGTTTACATATTAACTATGTCTTTAGCAATGACAACAAAAATCGTCAGTATTGGTAGAAGTTCTATAAGAGGATGAGTAAATATAAACTTAAGTGTAAACAAGAAAAGTATAATAGATTATTAGAACACAAACTCTATGTGAGTAAAATTATTTAACTTTGATTTCTCAAATTTGAATAATCTTTAATTTTCAATCTGCTCTTAAAGTATTGAAAGGAGTATAGTTTTGATGCAAAGCATTACTAAATACATATACCTACATGTATGCACAGATGTAGAAACCCACACAGTTTCATATGTATAATTTTTCAACAAGAAATACTGAATTATATACACAGGAAACAAGATAAAAATCACCTACATTGTAACCATATTTAAAAGAAAAATTAACAGCCTTACATAATTATGTATAACATAAAATTTCATTTAAGTGTGCAATTTATACATGGTAAAATTCATTCATTTGAAATGCACAGTTCAAAGCATTTAAGTAAACTTACAGAGCTGTGCAGCCATCACTACGATCCAAGTTTAAAATATGTCCATCCACCCAGCTGAAGCCCATTTGCCGTGAATCCCTCTTTCTGGCTCAGCCATAGGCAACCATTTCTCTACTTTCTGTATCTACAGATTTGCTTTTCCTGCACATTTCTTACAGATGGGATTATATAATATGTAGTCTTTCTTGCCTAGCTTCTTTCACTTGGCATAACGCATTTGACCGTGTCCTTTGTATTGCTGAGCAGCATTGTTTTAGGGTAGATCACTTTTGTTTCTCTGTTACAACAACCAACTTTTAAAAAAGCATATATTCAAGAAACTTGTTAACAGTGGCTGTTTGTAGAGAAGGGAATGGGAGACAAAGGGACGGTGATGGAAAAGAGACTTTTTTCATTGTTTACTATTTGATATGATTTTAATTTTTTAAATTCAGGATTATGTCATATCTATGACAGCAAAATAAGAAATGTGTTCCCCATTAATGTGTACAAAATAAGAGAGGCAACCCCTTTGCTCATCCAAATCCCATCTTCCTTTAGAAAATTACCATTAATTTATTTTTAGTATCTTTCTAGAGTATACACACATGTGTGCACATAAATATATTCATGTACCCATATGTATGTACTCCTAAACAGTCATATATCTCATATTTCAATAAAAATGGAATTGTAGGACCTAATATTTTTAACCCTGTATTACCAAAGCTGAGAAAAACAACTTACCTATCTTGGTGGGTTATGACATATGTGGAAACTATGAACGAAATAATTGATTATGAATACACAGTGGAGCAGATTCAGTTTATTAGTATGTGCAAATGTGTTTTAATTTTTTTAAGCTCCTTCCTGTATGTTTTCTCACAGGATACTTTGGATCTGCTTGTGAAGAAAAGGTGGACCCATGCGCCTCGTCTCCATGCCAGAACAATGGCACGTGCTACGTGGATGGGGTACACTTTACCTGCAGCTGCAGCCCGGGCTTCACAGGGCCAACCTGTGCCCAGCTTATTGACTTCTGTGCCCTCAGCCCCTGCGCTCATGGCACATGCCGCAGCGTGGGCACCAGCTACAAATGCCTTTGTGATCCAGGTGGGTACCGCCCTTAGACAGCAAGTCTTCCTTTTCTCAATCTCAAGCCGATCTCAAAAGATCGTTACGTTTTCTTTTGCATCTGAGCAAATGTCAGCCCACAGAATGCAGTATGCTTGTAAATAAAAGTGAATTCCACTCATTTGTGACACATTTTCTTTTTTAGATTTATGCTTGGCAGGGTTAAAAAACATACCCTTTCTTCTTATCATGAGTAACTCACATTCATTGTAGAAAAAAACAAACAAAATAAAGAAAATTGAAAACAGGCTTAATCTCATCACAGGCTAAGCATTTGTAACAATTTACTGTGAGTCATTGCAGAGCTTTTACTGTATTGCATATCTTTTACTGTTGTGTGCTTAATTTAACAGAATATGTGTTTTTCATTTTAATGTGCATGGAAAGCACAGGGCAATATATTCAGAATGGTGTCATCTATTAAAATTGTTACTTGATGCACAGTATGTTACATCACTGGCTTCCTGTGTAAGAATTGAAAAATTTCACCATTTAATTTCCAAATGCCTTCTGTGTTTGCGCTACAGATTTTTATATGGAAGTTTTGATACCCAGAAGTGAGTGATTGCTAGGCAAAAATTTGTGTGTGCACAGCCCACTAGGGTAGTCAGAGAGGAATGCGCAGGGCAGCCCTTCCTTCTTATTTCTATTCTGTGCATGTCTCCATCCTTGTGCGAGCTGGCTCTTTAGAAAGCTTCTCAGCACAATGGGTCCCCACACATCTCCCTGGCCAGTCAGCGTGGCTGGCCAGTATCTGGTTTCGCTTGACCCTGGTTTTGCTGGTGCAATGGCCTCTAGCTGGAATGCCGGCTCCCCATTACCCCACCTCACTGAACAAACTTCTACTGCGGGGGCTGACTCACTTTCCTTTCCTCTTAGTTCCAGCAGTCACCCACAATATCACTTGTGTGGTCTTAGAAACAGGACATTAATTATCCTCGTATGTATGTCTCTCCTCCATGGGGCTGGGAGGAAATGTCTTTTGTTAATAGCTTTTGTATCAGCAGCAATCGCCCTAAGCCACCATTTAGTGAGCACTCATCTTTCTAGATTCTGAGCTGGGTGATTCACATCTCCGGTCATTTTAGTGTCATGTTTACACCAAGGTTTGAAATGCCTCTAGAGGTTCAGTCATCTGCCTGCCGCCAGACACCCAGGACAGGGGTTGAGCGCAGATTCCAATGCAGGTGTCCCTGGTTCCGCTGCTCCAGTGCCTGGCCCAGAACTTCCAAAGGGCATGTCTCATACTCATGAATCAATTTAAAAAGTGACTGAGAAATGCAACTTGGCATTTGAATGGTATTGTAAAGCCTTTTTTTCCCCACATAGACTCTTAATTCTCTGATTTTCTAAGTAATTGATATTTTGCCAAGTGCCTCTTTCCTCTCTGCTCTGACATTCAGAAGGAATAGGGCTGTTTAATCTTCTTGGTAACAGTGTTAGTAGTTAGGATTCTACTGAGACATGAGAGAGAGAGAGAGAGAGAGAGAGAGAGAGAGGCAGAGAGGCAGAGAGAAATTTATTTTAAGTAACTGGCTCATGCAATTGTGTGGACTCGCAAGTCCAAAATCTGTAGGGAAGCTGGCTGGCAGGCTAGAAACTCAGGCAGGGTTTCTGTGTTGTGTTTTGAGCTGAATTCTTTCTTCTTTGGGAAACCTCAGTCTTTGTCCTTAAGACCTTCACCTGATTGGTTGTGCCCACCCACATTCTGGAGGGTCGTCTGCTTCATCCAAAGTCTGCTGATTTAAATGTTAATCTCATCTAAAACATCCCTTCATAGAAACATCTAGATGAGTGTTTGAGCAAATATCTAAGAACCATGGTCTAAGCCAAGTCGACACCTGAAATCAACTATCACGGTAACATTTTTGGATCTCATGAAGTAAGATACTTGAAGTGAAGCAGTTTCTCCACTATGTTTGACCTGAGGGTATTTTGCTTGGTTGACCTCCATGCTCTCCCTCAGAGCCAAGGTGGAGATGGGAATAGCTGCCCCTCGGAGGGTCCAGTTTTCTCCCATGTGGTTGGGGCGCACGTGCTGTGAGCTGGGCACGTGGTAAGAGGAGGCAGCGTGGTGCTGGCCCTTACCTATTGGGAATGTGGATCACTGAGATAACTTGTGTTTGCAAACTAAACAAGCTGCAATTGTGCTGGAAGAACAGAGGCTTACTCATGCACTGACTCATGAGCACACTGTTCCCAACTCCTCTCTGGATGTCATAACAAGTGTGAAAATTCCCCTCAGCAGCGTTCGGAACAAAAACTTCCTTAATACTTTATTACCTGTCTCCTGAGAATTCCGTTTCTCTCAGTGAAGCCCCACAAAGAAGAATCACATATTGCAAGACCAGAAGACAACTTCATTTTCTCCTCCCTTTCTTCTCTGACTTGTTTTCTTAACCATATCAAACGTTTTCTTTAAAAAAATTTTTTTGATGGAGATTTGGTCTTGTTGCCCAGGCTGCAACCTCCACCTCCTGGGTTCAAGCGATGCCCCTGCCTCAGCCTCCCAAGTAGCTAGGATTATAGGCACCCACTGCCAGGCCCGGCTAATTTTTGTATTTTTAGTAGAGATGGGGTTTCACCATGTTGGCCCGGCTGGTCTCCAACTCCTGACCTCAGGTGATCTGCCCATCTCAGCCTCCCAAGGTGCTGGGATCACAGGCCTGAGCCACTGTGCCTGGCCCAAACTACTTCTTATAGTTAGTTGATTTTCAAAACTTAAAATTGAAGGGAGTTAGAGGTAAATAGTGTTTTTAAATAATACCAAATAGAGTTTGTCAACATGCGTGATGCAACTAAATGGAAAATATACTGCCTGGTGTTTCTCTTCCCACGCTGGGAGAGGTAGCCAAGAATGCTGGAAAGAACCTCTCTAACAGCCTTGCTTACTAAGACCACGGGAAATTTACAGGCATCTCTGGGACTCAGTTTTCCCCGTTGTTAGGAAAGAGAGGAGAGTTACAAGTAACAGCATGAAATGAGAGGCCAGCAGCCCATTTCCTGGCATGGACTAGTAAAAACTCTTCTTTCTTTCTCTCCATGGAGATTCCAGCAGCATTCTTTTTTTCCCTTTTTCTTTCTTTCTTTTTTTTTTTTGAGATGGAGTCTTGCTCTGTCACCTAGGCTAGAGTGCAGTGGCATGATCTTGGCTCACTGCAACCTCCGCCTCCTGGGTTCAAGGAATTCCCTGCCTCAGCCTCCTCAGTAGCTGGGATTACAGGTGCCCGCCACCATGCCTGACTAATTTTTGTATTTTTAATAGAGATGGGGCTTCACCATCTTGGCCAGGCTGGTCTTGAACTCCTGACCTTGTGATCCACCCGCCTCGGCCTCCCAAAGTGCTGGGATTACAGGTGTGTGCTACCTCGCCTGGTCTCCAGCAGTGTTCTCGAGCTATGCAGGGGTGAAATTATTCCACTTTCCTTCCTTCTGTCCCCTACTAAAACGTCATTCATGCCTACTTCGAGCGTTTGACTTGATAATCCATCTGTGGTCCAGCAGTAGCCCCTGAGTAGCCTTGAAAAGTCCAAAGATGTGTGCATCCTGTTCTCTGAATGAACATGATCCCTTCATTTGTTCAGTAGTCTCAAGGTAGAGCTTAGGAGTCCTGACAGGGCTCTCTCGTGGAACACAGGAGATGAAACTGCCTTCAGAGGGTGTGTGTCTTCAGAATGTTGGGTGATTGTAAAATAAAACAGGCATCTTAACACCTGGCAAGAACTTACATTTTAAGAGGTGAGCATGACAAGTCTGTGAATGTGAAATTTCTCATCTTCATCTTTTGGAGCATGTAATTGCTTCACCACCAGTTTGCATAATGGAAGAACCTCAGGAGAATAGATGAAATTGGGCGTCTAGCTATGGAGCAGCAAGGCTGATCATCTTTACAGAGAGCAAACGGATCTCATTTCATAAAATGGCAGCAGATTGAAATCATGTCAGGTTGAAAATTAGCTCCCATTTTGACGAAATGCCATTTTGATTACTGCAAATCAGATTTGCTGGTTGCCTTATTTTCAAACTTCATTTGTAGCTTATCAGGCTGGGGATTTCTGATGGGATTTTAAGATTAAATAATAAAATGTCAGCACTGAGTAATTACTGAAATGTTATCTTCCGGTGACAGTGTTAAGTGATAGGCTACCCATTCTCTTAAAAATTGCAAATTGAAATCTCCTGAAGAAAGTGAGAACTTGGAGCTGCTACAAACATGATAAAGGTGGAACTCGCATGGTGGGGAGAGGGGTGCCATTTTCCCTGCAGGTGGGAGCCATGTATCGTGTGTGTTCCCAATACAATGGTGGCTTTTGCAGATAATTGCTGTACATGACTGGTATTGGAAGGAATCCCTGGCATGAAGGAAGATAGTTTGCACTTGAGTTATTACTCAAACTTGTTTGTCAAATTGAATTAACCCTGCCATTATAGAATATGCCTTAAACATTACTATTTAAGGGACAAGGCATTGCAGATTTTTACATGAAAATGTCTTTGTAAATTTTTTGAATGACTAAGATCTAAGATGCTCATTACTTCAAGTGCAATTGAAATCCCAGACTAGACACGGCACGGTTGCCAACCAAGTTCCTCTGCTCATTCTTTTTCACCAAAGGGCTGATAACCCAGTTAGATCATCTACGTATGTAATAGGCTGTAAACCAAAGGAAACGTAGACTTCTTCCAAGTGAAATTTTTTATTTTATTTTTTATTTTTTATTTTTTATTTGATTATAGGTTTTGGGGTACATGAGCAGAGCATGCGAGACAGTTGCGTAGGTACACACATGGCAGTGTGCTTTGCTTTTCTTCTCCCCTTCACCCACATTTGGCATTTCTCCCCAGGCTATCCCTCCCCACCTCCCCCTCCCACTGGCCCTCCCCTTTTCCCCCCAATAGACCCCAGTGTTTAGTACTCCCCTTTCTGTGTCCATGTGTTCTCATTTTTCATCACCCACCTATGAGTGAGAATATGCGGT